AAAAAAAAAAAATGTCTTTCATTGTAAAGTAGCAAACGTGCAGAGTCATAATGAATATGCGGATAGGTTCAGATACCGTTTCACTTCTGAGTCAGCAGTCTAAGGAAATATGGGGAAGAGTGTGATGCCAAGTCTCAGACTTTGTTCTCTTACGGAAACACCAATTTAACAATGATATGTGGACCAAAATACCTTTGTTAAGAATTCAAAAATCCAGTTAGGAAGCTGGAATACTCCAGGCAAGAACACAACCAACCACAACAAACTGAAATGGGTAAGAACAAGTTAATTTTATCCTCATCCGCCCTGCCCCCACACCAGTACAGCTCAGTGCCAGTGTAGACTGTCCCAGCTTATGACTTCTCCCTGGCATGAGAAGAGGAGGAGAAGAGTAAAGCATGCATTTGGTGTTCTGGCTCTTGAGAGGACTGCCTGAGAGACTGGTTTCTGTCTTATCTCACTTGGAGCGCTGATGGAACTGATATACTTAGGGTGCCTGAGAACAAAGAATAGTGGTAAACAGTTTGCGGCATGCAGCATGATTTGATGACATGAAAAGTTTCAACCTTAGGAGGAAGAGACAGAGAATGTGGGCTTGGCGCCCATAGCACAGTGATTATGGCGCCAGCCTCATAAACTAAGGCTGGCGGGTTTGAACCCGGCCCGGGCCAGCTAAACAACAATGACAACTGCAACAAAAAATAGCCGGGTGTTGGGGGCACCTGTAGTCACAGCTACTTGAGAGGCTGAGGCAAGAGAATTGCTTAAGCCCAAGAGTTTGAGGTTGCTGTGAGCTATGATGCCACAGCACTCTACCAAGGGCAACATAGACTCCATCTCAAAAAAAGAAAAAAGAGAGAGAGAGAATGTGCATCAGGCTCTCTGGCCTTTCAGAAGGGAACTTTGGAAACCTAGTGGCCACTGAAAGTGATGGCTTGCTGCTGTAGAACCAAAGATCTTGCAGTGCTGCAGACAGACACCAGAGGGAGAAATTACAAGCCCCTGAAATAGGAATCACCAAGCCTCAGTAATAGAGAAAATATTGGTAGAGATCCAGAGAAACTGTATTGCCAAAAAAGGTTTCAGAGGTCCCCAGAATATCCAGCAGGGCTGATCTGTAAAGGCAATTGTATAGGATCTTCTCCTGTATGTTGGTAGTCTGTCAAGATTGGAAGAAGTTAACTATTTTTTCAAATGTACAGATACCATCACAGTTACAAGATACATGAAGAAACATAGAAATATGAATTAAACAAAGGATCAAAATAAACTCCATAAACAAATTCTAAAGAAATAGAGTATATAAACTACCTGACAAAGTATTCAAAATAACTTATAAAGATGCTTTATGCATTCAAGAAAATAATGCATAAAAATGAGAATATCAACAAAGAGACCAAAAAAGAGATTTTTGAAACTGAAGAATAAAGTAACAGCACTGAAAAATTCACTGAAGGAGTTCAAAAGCAAAGTTGATCAAACAAAAGGACAACAAACTCAGTTATCTGAAATTATACAAAGGAAAAATAAGAAAGAAAACATACGAGACTTTCGAGATACAACAGACCAATTTATATAGTATGGATATCCCCAAAAGAAGAGAGAAAGGAGCCAAATGTTTGTCTGAAGACGTAATGGTTGAAAACTTCCCAAATCTGGGGAAGGAAATGGATATCCAGAATGAAGAAGCCAATGGGCTCCAACCAGGATGAAACCAAGGAAATCCACACTACAACACATTATAACCAAACTGCCAAAAGTCAAAGACAGAAAATTTTGAAAGTACCAAGAAAAAAGCAGTTTATCACATATAAGAGAACAGCTATCAGACTGTCAGAACTTTTCTCAGCAGAAATCTTGTAGGTCAGAGGGAATGGGACAATATAAAGTGCTAAAAGAAAAAAATGCTACCAACCAAGAGTATTATGTCCAGCAACATCATCTTTCAAAATTGCAGGAGAGGCTCTGCGCCTGTAGCACCATAGCTATGGTGCCAGCCATATACACTGAAGCCAGTGGGTTTGAACCTGACCCAGGCCAGCTAAACAACAATGACAAGTGCAGGAAAAAAACAGCCTGGCAATGTGGCAGGCGCCTGTAGTTCCAGCTACTCAGAGGCTGAGGCAAGAGAATCGCTTAAGCCCAAGAGTTTGAGGTTGCTGTGAGCTGTGACACCACAGCACTCTACCAAGGGCGATATAGTGAGATTCTGTCTCAAAAAAAAAAAAAAATGCAGGAGAAATAAAGACTTTTCCAGTTAAACACAAACTTAGGAAGTTTGTCTTACACTTTTAATTCTGGTATGGAAGTTAAAAGACAAAAATATTAAAAAAAAGTATACAAACATAAAAAGTATACACAGTATAAAAAGATACAACTTGTGACATTGACAACATGAAGTGTATACCTAAAGAAGTAAAAATGGGGACTATTTGTATGTGACTAACATTAAGTTACTAACAGCTTAGAACAGACTATTGTAACTAAAAGGTACATGTAACTGTTATGGTAATCACAAAAATAGCTATAGAAGATAGACAAAAGATGATGATAAAGGGGTCAGATTTAAAAAAACTAAGATCTACCTCTATGCCATCTGTAACAGACTCACTTTAAATTTAAAGACACAAATAGGCAGAAAGTAAAAGGATGAAAAAAGATATTCTATGCAAATGATAACCGCAAAAGAACAGAGATGGGCCACACTCTTTCAGAAAAAAACAGACTTTAAGTAAAAACAGTTTAAGGAGACAAAAAGAATATTATATAATAACAAAGGACCCACCCAGCAGTCAGTAACTAAGGCCTGGACCCAGGGCTATGGCGTTCAAAGAGGCCTGGCGGGGCATAGAGGCCCCGGTGCATGGCTGCAGCCGGGGTGGCAAGGTCCCTCCAGCCAGCCGATTGCAGTGCCCTCAGTGTGGGCTGGTGCCTTGTGCAGCTGAGTAGAGGCTGGGCAGGAGCCCAAGAGGCCCGTTCACCCATATGAGTGAGTATGGCAGCGCGATGAGGGAAGTCTTCAAATAAAAGAGCTTCAAGCTGTCCCTTTTCTCTGCCTCTGATGTAGAATTTGATGCTGTGATTGGATATTTAGAAGACATCATCGGGCGGTGTCCACAGCTCAGTGGATAGGGTGCACCAGCCACATACAGAGGCTGGTGGTTTTGAACCCGGAGCGGGACAGCTAAAGAAAAACAACAATGGCAACAACAACAAAAAAAGCTGGGCATTGTGGCCGGAGCCTGTAGTCCCACTTACTTGGGAGACTGAGGGAAGAGAACCACTTAAGTCTAAG